CATAATCGAATATGTTGCACACCAAATACTCTGTCTGAACGGTAGCAAGGTTCATTGCTTGTCAAAGGTGAGAAAGAGACGTATTGACATATTGCACTGCTAACGGCTAGTTTACATATCTCTGTGTGTATTTAGTGACATTCAAACACTTCCAGCCTGTTCCACGATCTCGAAAGAAAATTTGTGCGAACGAAGGCTACTCACTCACTTTCGCATAAGAATGCGTTCCACTAACTTTCGTTCTTTCTTTCGCATAGCCTTACGTGATTCAGTGTTGCAAAATATTTTTTGGCAAAATTAATCGCGAAATAAGGCAAAAAAAAGCGCCAAATGTCTAATATAAACGCGACTGATTTTGACATTTGTGTTCGCATGCGTACGAAAGAAAAAAGATAGTGGAACGCAAAATTACACTGAAACGCTTACGTTTTCGTTCGCTTTGATTTTCGTGCAAATTTTCGTTCTGATGGATTTTAGTGGAACGGAAATCAGCTGTTTGTCGTGTAAAAGTTGTGCGAACGTGTTCTTTCGACATCGTGGAACAGGCTGTTCATTTTTCATTCATTTAATTTTTTTCTTATTTTCTGGCCAACTCGAATAGCGGGATATAATAAAGTAACAACAACAAAAACAACGAAACCAAATCAAAATTGTTTTGCAAATGTAACAGCCTGTTCCACGATCTCGAAAGAAAATTTGTGCGAACGAAGGCTACTCACTCACTTTCGTATAAGAATGCGTTCCACTAACTTTCGTTCTTTCTTTCGCATAGCCTTACGTGGTTCAGTGTTGCTAAATATTTTTTTGGAAAAATTAATCGCGAAATAAGGCAAAAAAAGCGCCAAATGTCTAATTTAAACGCGAAAAAGCAGCAGTGGCTCTGTCTCAACTGACATTTCAGTTGTAAACAAACAAATTGTAAATAAACAAACAAAATAAAAACTCTATTGATTGTGTTCAAACTATTTGTGCTCTTAGAAAATAAAAAAAGAATATTTCCGTAGCCCTATTTTTTATGGATGATGTGGAGGAGGTTCAAAATGTGCCACGGAGGCATTTAAGAGATGCTTCGAATTTATTTGAAGTACCTAACAACCAGTAAGTATGATTGTATTTTTACATTTTTGAAATAATAAAAAATAATAATAATAATTTTTTCAAGGTTTGTGGCCAATTTTCGTGTGTCGAAGGAAGTTTTCGGGCTCTTTTGGATATGATGGAAGAGAAGTGGGTGCCCGGTTGCAGAACTATCCAAATCCGCCCCGATTTAAAACTTCTTCTGCTGCTTCCAAAAATTGGCACTCCTCTGGTGAACATAGGATTCTCCTCCATATACTAGTGCCCGCAGCTGTGTAGTTGATGATTTTTTCGTGCTGGAATTGAGAAAATAAAAAAATATATATTTGTTGTTCACATATTAAATTGCATTTATTATTTTTACTTACATTTTTGTTTCCATTTTCAATCAAGCAATGTTAATGTTAAAACAATTTTCCTTAATTGTTATTATTCGATAGCAAACACACAAGTGACTGATTTTGACATTTGTGTTCGCATGCGTACGGAAGAAAAAAGATAGTGGAACGCAAAATTACACTGAAATGCTTACGTTTTCGTTCGCTTTGATTTTCGTGCAAATTTTCGTTCTGATGGATTTTAGTGGAACGGAAATCAGCTGTTTGTCGTGTAAAAGTTATGCGAACGTGTTCTTTCGATATCGTGGAACTGGCTGTAAAATACTCTATTTTTTGCAACAACAAAAATTGACAATTGAAAAAAAGAAAACTTGTTTCTTTGGTGGTCTCTTCTGTCTCTGTGCATGATAAATGAGTGGCGTCCAATGTGGCGGCGGCGACAACCGGTGGGTTGCGTCACAAACCTTGACGTAGCATTTGATTTGATTAACATGTCTTTTGAATTTCTATCAATCGAAATAAGGAAAAAGGTCATGAATTGTAAATTTCGAATTGTTTTGAGTCAGGAGGAAAAAAAACCTTAATGATATTCATTGACAAATTCTTTCAAAAAGATTTCTTTTCTTTTTTTGTTTTGTTTGATTTAGCGAAAGAAAATAAATAAATGTATGCATATGCCGTGTATAAAAATAAACCTCTGGAATAATTTTACAAAAATTTAATGAAAATTCAACTAGTGGGTCGATGAATTACTGGCAGTTAGAAAAACAGGGAATATTGAATCAAGTGAAGAATTTGATTTTTGGATTATTTATAGAGAACGGATGGTTGTACGAGACTGGAGTTTTAATTCACGTGTGACATTAATTTGCTCTGTTCCAGAACCTGAAAGAATGTACTATTTTTTTTCCAATATCATAAAAGGAAAATCGGTTATCGTAGTTAAAACTTTTTAATTCTTGCAGTTCTGAACAGAGCAATTGTACCAATATTAATATAACCTTAGCCACATGGCTGGAGAGGGTATACATTATTTAATACGGCCGAAACGTGCCTCATTTAACTTACAAGTTTTAGACCCTGGATGGTGCTCACGACAACTCTCGAAAGGAGCATCCGATTTGGTCCAAACTTGGTACATCGTAATATTATTATGAAACTTAGATCGAGTTCGAAGATGGGCAATATTGGTCCACTCCTTCTGGTACCTCCCACACAAAAGGTCGAAATTATCAAAAAAAAAAAAAAATAAATAAATAATAATAATATTTTACAGCACAGAAAGAGAAAGGATAGTCCAATTACGCTACAACTTCTCAAATCCTAATATTTCTATCAGTGCAATGCTGGGTACGAAAATCAACAATTGCCTGAGGGTCGGCAAAACCAACTGATATTTCCTAACTTGTTATACCCTCAGCCATATGGCTACTATATATCATTTGATACGGTCAAAACGTGCCTAGTCGAAATAATGGTTTTAGACCCTAGGTCTCTTTGGACCAAATCCATTTCAGAATATTTGGAGCCGATCTAGCGATGTCCGTCCGTCTGTCTGTCTGGCTGGTGCGCACGATGACTCTCGAAGGGAGTATCCGATTTGGTCCAAACTTGGTACGTCGTAATATTTTTGTCAAAGTTATATCGAATTCGAAGATGGGCAATATCGGTCCACTCCTTCTGGTACCTTCCCCACAAAATGTTGAAATTTTCTAAAAATTTATTTTCTGCACAGAAAGAGAAAGGAGAAATCGATTTTGCTGCAACTTTGCAATTCCTAATGTTTGCGTCACTGCTAGGTCAGGTGCAAAAATGGACAATATCGGTCCACTCCATCAAGTACCTCCCCCACAAGGGGCCAAAATTTTGAATAATTACAACTCCTAGAAAATGTGATGTATGAGTCCGATTGTCTTGAAATTTCACACATCCCAATATTAGTACTAACCCAAGGTCTGGTGTTAAAATGGAATATATGGGTCCACTCCTACTGGTACCTCCCCCACAAAATGTCGAAATTTTCAAAAAAAAATATTTTTTGCACAGAAAGAGAAGCAATAATCCGATCTTGCTTCAACTTTGCAAATCCTAATATTTGTGTCAGTGTGAAAATGGACAATATCGGTCCACTCCATCAAGTGCCAACTTGACAACTCTTATAAAATCTGATGTATTAGACCGATTGTCTTCAAATTTCATACATACCAATATTTTTATTAACCCTAGGTCTGATGTTAAGATAGGATATATCGGCCCACTCCTTCTGGTACCTCCCCCACAAAGGGTCAAAATTTTGAATATCCATTAAGCTCATAAAACGCGAAATTAACATCCGATTCAATTCAGACTTGGCACTTCTGAATATTTCTATCAGTACAGGATCTGTAAAAAAACGGTAGAGATGGGACCATTCCTTCTGGTACCTCCCCTATATAGGATTCAAGCTTTTAAAAAACAAAACGCTCACCGAAAGCGAAATAAGCACCAACTCTCTTCAAATTTTACACACACACAGAAAAATGTTGTTAAGGCAGGATCTATTGTGAAGATGATATCTATCTGCGAACCCCTTCTGGTACCTCACCCACAAAGGGTCACAATTTTCAATGCTTTTATCTGTGATAATTTATTTAGGTCTGATACGAATTGGACAATATTCTGTCCATAGCAATTTAAATACTCATAACTCAAATCTAAATATATTGAAAATAATCGAACATTGGCTGAGGGTCGGCAAAACCGACTGATACTTATCTTTTTTTTAATATAATTGAGGAGCCAAACAACTATTCAAACTTTTGATGTCTCTTCGATTGAGAGAGAACATAACCTCAAAATGTCCCTATTCAGTTTCTATCTTGCACTTTTTTATGGCAGTGCAGAAAACTATGTAGCTTGGCAATTCACATTACAATTGTTAACTAGTCATGGCAATGATGTTGTTGTAAATACCACAATTTTCTGCCAACAAGGATAACGACCATTCTAAGTACGACGCAGTATCCACACAAAGGAAGAGCATTTGAAATATTCACGTAAATGATTTTCCTTCCACATTGCCGTTGCTTTACAGACTGTCAATTAATTTGCCATCTTCTTCATGGCCCCTTATAGATGTGAATGGGCCACAAGGACATACATATGTCTGGGTTGAAAATATTCCATAAATGATTTTACAGCGCACAAAAAGGAATCGTGACAGTGAATATGGTTGGATTGTAGTGTAAAGAAGTATAGACTTCGGAACAGTGGCCGTGGGTGAATATCAAATGGGTTTGGCATTCCAACAATGTTCAATGCAAATTCTGTAACAGAACGTGTTTCTGCAAAATTTTGTTCTGATGATTATCACATTGTGGAGCTTTGTTTACAGTTTCTTTATTTTGACGGCATTCCCACTTGCCCAGAAGATAATTGATAGTTGCGGAAACTGAATTTTTCAGATTTTTCTAAGAAAAACATAAATCTACTAACTAATCTCTGCAACATGTACCTTTGCCGTTTCTCTTGAATGTAAATTTTATTTATTTTCCCCTCACTTTAACATCTCCTAACCCTAGTTTTGTTTTTTCTATTTTTTTTCAGGAACAAGTCAAACTTGATTCCACCAAACAGGTAACCAGCCCTGACGATTGTGAAGATCTCAGTCCAATGCCACAAACAGCCGCCCCACCAGTACGCCGACGTGGCGGTATTTCCGCCGAACCCGTTAGTGAAGAAGACGCCACCAGCTATGTGAAAAAGGTCGTACCCAAAGACTACAAAACAATGGCTGCCCTGTCCAAGGCCATTGCCAAAAATGTGCTCTTCTCACATTTGGACGAAAACGAACGTTCGGATATTTTCGATGCCATGTTTCCCGTTACACATTTAATGGGCGAGAATATCATACAGCAGGGCGATGAGGGTGACAATTTCTATGTGATCGATCAGGGTGAAGTGGAGGTATGTAGTCATTTGTTTGAATATTTGAATACAATTTTTAGTAACATTTTTATTTTTTTTCGCAAAGGTTTTCGTCAATTCGGAAATGGTTACCACAATTGGTGAAGGCGGCAGTTTTGGTGAATTGGCCTTGATCTATGGTACACCAAGAGCAGCTACTGTACGTGCCAAAACTGATGTCAAGCTGTGGGGCATTGATCGTGATTCGTATCGTCGAATTTTGATGGGTTCCACCATACGCAAACGTAAAATGTACGAAGAATTCCTATCGCGTGTTTCGATTTTGGGTAAGTTTGAACTGAAATAAGTAAGAAAGCAAAAAAGCTAACTTTTTGGAAGGAACTTTAAAATTTAAAAAAAAAATCCCTCGAAAAAATACCGCCTAGGTGATAGTTATATATGGCCTGTACGAAGACGTGGATCTACATAAGAAGGTTTTTGTCATAGGCTGCACCGATTCGGAACTTCAAATCTCAAATTTGAAACAATGGGTGCTATACGAAGATGTGGACCTGCTTAAGCAATTCTTTTTTGTCATAGGCTGTAGTACCGATTTCAAACTTCAAATACCAAATTTGAAACGATAACGGTGAGAAATGTCGCTGAAATCATCAAAATACCTAATAAAGCGAGGTATCGTTATATGGGGCCTATACGAAGACGTGGACCTGCATACTCAATTTTTTTTCATCAAAATACCGAATAAAGGGAGGTTTCGTCATATGGGAGCTATACGAAGATGTGGATCTGCATACGCAATTTTTTTTCATAGGCTGTAGTACCCATTGCGAATTGTAAATACGAAATTAGAAACAGTTCCGTCAAATAATGTCGCTAAAATCATTTAAATACCGAATAAAGGAAGGTATCGTTATATGGGGGATACCTGAAAACGTGGACCTGCATAGACAATTTTCTCTCATAGCTTGTAGAATCCATAACGAATTTCAAATACAAAATTTGAAACGATCCCGGTGAGAAATATCGCTAATATCATCAAAGTACCTAATATCGGGAGATATCGTTATATGGCGGCTATACGAACATGTGGACCTGTATACGCAATTTTCTCTCATAGGTTGTAGTACCTATTACGAACTTAAATACGAAATTTTAAAAAAATCCGGTGAGAAATGTCTCTAAATTCATCAAAATACCGAATAAAGCGAGGGACCTATACGAGCATGTGGACCTGTATACGCAGTTTTCTTTCATAGCTTGTAGTACCCATTACGAACTTCAAATACAAAATTTGAAACAGTTCCGTTGAGAAATGTCGCTAAAATAATAAAGAAAAATATCGGGAGGTATCGTTATATGGGGGCTATACGAAAACGTGGACCTGCATTGACAGTTTTCTGTCATAGGTTGAAATACCCATTAACATCTTCCGTTACAACATTTGCACCCATTTCGGACTATAATGTCTTTAAAATCATAAAAAATCTCGAATATTAGAAGGTATCGTTATATGAGGACTATACAAAAACCTGGACCGACATGGCCCATTTACGAACTTAATCTGCCTACCCGCAAAATACACATGTCTGTAAAATTTTATCCTTCTATCTCAATGCGTTTCAAACGTAGCGTTGTTACAGCAGACAGATGGACATACCTAAATCGACTAAGACTTTTACGCTGATCAAGAATATATACTTCGTAGGGTCTGTCATGAATATTTCGAGGAGTTACAAACGGAATGACAAAGTTAATATACCTTCCATAGAATGATGGAGGGTATAAAATATATTAAGTATTAGTAAGGACATAAGAAATAATCCGCCGACCTCTGTCATAAATCGCAGCTTGAATCTCACTTGCTAATAATAAGCGAGGGCAGATCACTAAGCCTATGACTTTTCCGAAACTGCTTCCATATTACACCTTTCGTTAAAATATGGGCAGTAGCATTCCAAAAACACAGTTTTTTCCAAGCAAATATAAAGAGTGTTTCTTTTTCGGAGTTATAGGAAAGTTTTTCAAAAAATCGTAAAATTCTGAAAAGTTTATAAAATTTTTATTTGTTTGCTAGTACGGTCCATATAATTTAATGTTTCAAGATTGCTTCATGCAAATGTTGACCGCGATTACACCTCAAATGGTCATTCCGCTTAGTTCAATTTTGTAATATTCTTTCCATCATTTCGTCCGTGATCTTACGAATAAATAATTCAATTTATCTTCCAATGCATCAATTGAATCAGGGTCATCTGCAAAGATATAAGCTTTAACATAGCCCCACAAAAAAAAAAAAAAATTGTCTAAGATATTTAAATCGCCCATTTTAGGCGGCCATTTAACTAGTCCTGAACGTCAAATAAAATGTTCAACGAACTCACCTCTCAATAAGTCCATTGTTACGCGTGCTGTGTGGCATGCGGCACCGTCTTGTCGTGCAGTCAAGCTCTTGCATTTTGGGTTCAAAGAAGTTGGATATCATCTCACGGTGACGCTTACTATCCACAGTTACGATTAACAGAATATTTGAAAATTCACGGTGCCACCAGCCCAGAAACCGTGACTTTGCCGGATGAATTTGTGACTTTTGCAATGCTTCACCAAAATTGACAATTCGGCTCAGTTACGTCTCCTTTAAGACAAAAATAAGCTTCATCGCTGAACAATGGAAATACTTAACAAATCACTCGTTTTCATAATGGAATCTGATTCAACGTTTATTGAACTTTCTGAATTCAACCGAATGAGTTTTCTAATTGTCAAGATGTTCAGAGGTTATATAATCGGGCGGTGTACTGGTGGGTAGGTTAGTTTGAGATTATTTAATCTGATCTTGACTGATCCCTCATTTACCTCACAAATCGAAGGAATTTACTCTTCCAACGCTGATTTGTTTGTATGAAGTTCCGACGACGTAGTACAAAGTAAGGTGTAGAAATTGATGTTGCGGTGGAGTTTAAACCGAAGACCCATTGTGGAATTACAATATTGAACACAATCCATTCGGTTGCATTCACGAAACCCGGAATCGATTTTCTTGAAACGTACCAACCCATGTGTTTTGCAAATTTTGAAAATGGATTTAGTTTATGCGCCATGTTTTACAACTTTTCTCTAAAGGGGGCGGACAATTTATGTTCTTTAATTACTTGTTTCTACCAAAAATCCTTATTAAAATGTTGATTTTATTTTTCTTTTTCACAACAGAGAGTTTGGATAAATGGGAACGTTTGACGGTGGCCGATGCCTTGGAAACGGTTACATTCGATGATGGTGAAACGATTGTTAAACAGGGTGAAGCTGGTGATGATTTTTATATTATTGTGGAAGGCTGTGCTGTTGTATTACAAATACGTGCTGAGGTAAATTTTAATCACTTTAAATTGTTTTTTTATTGAATTGAAATAATAATCTGTAACATCACGCAGCAAGGAGACGAACCCGCTGAAGTTGGACGTTTGGGTCCAAGTGACTATTTTGGCGAAATTGCTTTGTTATTGGATAGACCACGTGCTGCTACCGTTGTTGCTAGAGGACCCTTGAAATGTGTTAAATTAGATAGAGCGAGGTGAGTTTGATTATTAGCAAATAATAATGGTTATTATTGTTGTTTTAATTATTTTAATTACACTATGTAACACGAAAAATAATTAGAGGAAAAATCCCGCAAATTTAAAGCTAAAATTGAAAGACACGTGCATAGCCGTTTTGAAAGTTTATTTCGCAAATTTAATTCAAATTTCAAAGCCCTATCCTAAGTGTTGCTAAATATATCTCACAGTATAGGGATTATAAAGGGTCACAACTGTATAAAGCCTTTAAAATTTTTTGGCCTAAGAACCTGAAACTTCTTTGGGGTTTTGATCTAAAAAAGAGGACTATCAAGTCCATTTGCCATTTTCCACAATCCTGACAGGCTGGTGAAATTATAGGAAATTGAAAAAATGCTAATATTTTAAAAATAAACAATATTGATTTTTTATACCCCCAGCCATATGGCTAGAGAGGGTAGGGTAGGGTATATGTAATTTGATACGGCCAAAACGTGGTCTCTTTGGACGAAATCCGTTTCAGGGCATTTGGAACCGATCTAGTCTAAACTTTGGTCTAAACTTGATACATTGTAATATTATTACCAAACTTAGATTGAGTTCGGAGGAATACTTAGAGATATTATGAAACACGAAATAACCATCAAATTCCTTCTGGTACCTACACCACAAAGGGTCAACATTTGGAAAAATTATAACTGTTATAAAATGTGAAATATGGGTTCGATGGTCTTCATATTTCGCACATCCTAATATTTTCACTAACACAACATCTGGTATAATGAACAAATATAGCGGACCACTACTTCTGGTAAATCCCCCAATCCGCGAAATAAGCATCCGATTTTTTTTTAAACTCGGCACATCGCAATATTTCTATCAACGCAAGATCTGATGTGGAGATGAGATATATCGGACTAATTCTGGTACGTCTCCTACAACTGGTCAACATTGTGAATAATAACTCTTATAACGTGTGAAATAAGCACCCGATTCTCTTTGGATTTCACACAACCCAATATTTTTACTAACGCAAGATCTGGTGTGAAGATGGCAGGTATCGGCCCACCCCTCCCGGTACCTTCCACACAAAAGGGTGACAATATTTAATATAAACAGGGAAAGATAAAAAAACTGCAACAAAGTCAAACGCCATAATTCTTACATTTTTTTATTTTATTGAATGAAAGCAAACTATGTCAGAAATAGCATCAAATGTTAGAATAAGTTTAGATTTGTTCGAATCGGTCACCTTTAGTACGAATTATGGCCTTCAAACGGCCAATGAAACCGTCGCATGCCGCCGGAATGTTGCTCTGCGGTATTTTGGCCCACTCCCGGCGAAGCGCTTGGTGATCGACACTTTGGTATTTTTTAGTGCCAACCTTGCTTTCCAAAATACTCCAGACACAATAGTCCAACGGATTAGTATCTGGAGATTTTGGTGGCCATTGTGCCCTGGAAATGAAGCGAGGAACCTCATTTTGTAACCATTCTTGTGTGGCTCGTGCTGAGTGTGATGGTGCTGAGCCCTGTTGCAATGTCCAAGGTCTGTTTGCGTGCCCAAGGCTTTAATACACCCTCCAGAATATTTTCGCCATAATATTCGCCATTTATTCTGATGCCACGGTCGATTAATACGAGCGTAGAGCGACCATCGTCTGTTATGGCCCACGGTGGCCCACACCATCACCATGACCTGCGCTTGAGTTCTGGTGGCCAACCGAAGATGCACATTTTCAGCTGACCCCTTTTGACAACTAAACACGATAATTTTGTTTGTTTACAAACTGCTGGACAACGAATGTTTCTCATCGGAGAAAACCAAATTTGGCAGTCCACCACTTTCGGCGAAGCGAAGCAACCCTTTAGCCCTTTTGAGTCTATTTTCTTTCTATTGCGGTGTAAGTTCTTGCTCTTTTTGGAATTTCAATGTCTTTACCCCGAGCTCATTTTTCAATATTTGCCGAATGGAATATTGCGATATGTTAAGCTCACGAGCCATTTTTCGGCCACTGCGACGCGGGTTTCGATTAAGTCGCTTCTTTACTTTTCGAGCCATTTCTGCTGATGTTACTGTTTTCTTCCGTCCACTTCCTTGACGTCGGGCTACGCTACCAGTATCACGATAACGAGCGATGGTACGAGACACAAAAGATTTATTCACATTTAAATGCTGGAATGCTCTAACGATAGTCACTTTTGGTTTTCCAGCCAAATATAAAGAAATCAGACTATCACGCTTGAATTCCATCACGAATATCTTTTTTCTGGAAACTTATCACCAAAATGCTTTTGTACGCTTGTAAACAATATAATGAGCTGTCAATGGAATAATTTTTTCAGCTGACGGACGAGTGGCTTAGAAATGACAGCAGTCTGAATTTGGTTGCAGTTTTTTTAATCTCATTTTTCATACCCTCTCTAGCCATATGGCTAAGGGTATAAAAATACTGTGTAATGTACATCATGAATAAAATATATATTTCTCAATATTATATAAATTTATATGCTGATCCTAATCTTATTTATATACTAACCATTTATTTTTTTCTCCTTAATTGCAGATTTGAACGTGTATTGGGACCCTGTGCAGATATTTTGAAACGCAACATTACCCAATACAACAGCTTCGTTTCATTGTCCGTTTAAATTTTTTGCAAAATACGGAAATTACACAACAAACAAAAATTAAATAATATTTTGGATATGTGTGAAAACAACAACAACAAACAAAAACATAATTTATTAAAACAAAAACAACAAAATATATATTAAAAAAAACAAATCAAACATCTTTTTAAATGTTTAAAACAAAAAATAAATAAAATACTGAAATATTTATAAAAGAAATAAAACAAACAAACAAAAAGAGAACAACACACTTTGTAAAATACACTACTAATCAACGTAAAACAAAAACCAACATCAACATCAAAAGGGGAAGGTATAATACATGGAGAAACCAAAAAAAAGAAGGAAGAATATTGAAACCAAAATTGCAGCCAAGAATAAATGTTTTGAAGAAAAAACAACAATGTATTTATGTAATGCAAGCTACTTCAAACTCATGCAGCTCATTTACAAAACAAACCAACAACCCACACCACCTCAGTTGAAAAGTTATAGATTTTGCATATAGGACCCCCCCAATGAGAAAAGAAACATAATCCTCTACCATGTCGATGCGCTCTCATTTGATGTTTTACTTGTTAAGCTATTTTTCATTTCAATGTAAAATTAAAATCCTTAAAAAAAAAAACATTCAAATTGCTAATGTTTTTAAGAAGAGAATACTGTGGTTCAAAAGTTTGCGACAACTAATATCTATCGAGCATGATATGCCACCTCATAATTAACAAAAAAAAAACAGAAGTATATTTGAAGAACACAATGTAATACAAAGGAACTGAACAATCTTAATTCTATTAAGATAAAAAACTCTTTATACCCAAAAATAAAACCTACATTACTTTCCGAAATAAAACATATAAGAAATGTAGTTGACATTTTGGCAAATTTTAAACATTTAAAACATGACAAAAAACCAACAAAACCAAATCGCAGAAAAACGAACTGGTTGATTTAAAAAATGTTACAGATGTCAAAGGCTGTAGACTTTTAAGAGCAAATTACAAAGTTGACAAGACACAGATTCCTGAAATGGAATGAAACATTTAGAAAGTTAAAACCTACTTATTTTTAAAATATCTCACAGCTCTTGTTATCTTCTTAAGGTTCTGTTAAATCAGTACTCTTCAAAATCGGCATTTCATAATGAAATATTTTAGCCTGAAAGAATTTTAATAGCCTGTTCACAGAACTTTTTTAAGGCAGACAAGCAGTTGCCACCCAGACAATCAAGTTTTTATTTCAGTTCATTTATTTTTTTCGTCTGGGAGTAAAAGCTGCTGTCAAAAATTTCTTTATGTTTCCAAAAAGAAAATTTGTTAATTTTTTTTTAATGATTGCATCCATAATCCTCGCGGACATAAACCCCATTGCAATTATGGGGATTTTGCCCGGTTTTGCGCCTAATTTTGCGTGGGGTTAGAATTTAGAACAGCGAAAAAGCGCACCTGTTGAGATTGACACAGCACAGCGGATGAAATGGACCATACCTTTTGTGTGAAATATCAATTTTCAAACACAATATTTTACTTTGTTTAAATTTTGTAAATGAACGATTGATATTTTTTGATTGTCGTCTTTGGCAATACTTTTTTTGTGTTGGAATTAGTTGACCCAAAATTTGCCTATAGAAAAAAGCTATTTTTGTTTTCTTACGTACGAAAACAAAAAATTCTATTTGTCTGTAATTTGCCTTGCAATTGGAAGAAAAATAATTTTGGTGAACAGGCTGTAAATATTCAATTTGTTTGTTGCATATATGAAACTAAAGTATAGTACTCTGTTTTAAAATGTGCTAAATTGTAATTACATTTCACATCAATAAATAAATAGATGATATTGAAAAAAAAGTTCTGGAGAAATGTATGGTTTTAAAAATGTATTTATATTTTTCTTCTTTTTTTTAAGAAATCATAAAACAGAAACCCTTAAACAAAAATCCTTATAAATGTATTTGCTGGATTTCCAAAACAATATGATATCTGTTTTATGAAAAAAAAAGAAATTAATTGAAATTTAAAATAGCAATTGAAAATAATGGTATTTTCAAACAAACAAGAATATTTATCATTAAAACCTAAAAAAAACTGTATTTTTTGAAATGTTTCCATTTCTGTAAAACTTTTCATTATTTTCTTTTATATTTTGTTAGCAGCCGTATAATTTTGTTTTGGTTTTATTTTATTATTTTATACACATTTTTGTTTTAAATCATCATTATTATTATTATTATATTAGCATCTATTAGTTTACTATTATAATATATTAAAAAAAAAAAAACAAACAAATTAATAAATAAATCAATGAAAATAGTCAGCATTGGTCTGACAATTTCTATAGAAATGAAAAGCGATCGGGAAATTAAAGTACATTCATAGCACTAAAAGGAAAACAGTGTCAGATAAAAACAAATGAGGAGCTCTACAAAGAAATTTTGAACATTTTTAAATATATCGAAGCCCAAATAGCCCGTAGTCAAATCAAATCAATGAAAAGAGTCAACATTGGTCTGATAATTTCTATAGAAATTAAAAGCTAAACAGTGTCAGATAAAAACAGATGAACAGATGCTCCATAGATATAGCATTCAATTTATTTGCAAAAGATAAGAGATCTACATATAAAAAAGTACGTTATTTTTTCAGAACCTGCAAGAATCTCCTTTTTTTTCCAATTTTTTGTCAAATAAAAAGCGATAAACAACTCAATTTAAAAAAAAAATGAAATGTATCACAGCCCAATTAACCTTTTGTTTCACACTTTCCGTACTCCAGTCAGTATTAATTTAGCAGACAAAAATAGTTGCTTGTCTATTTTTGGAGCCTCGCGTACATGGTGCACCCTTTATTAGACATATATTAGACAAATACAAATATAAGGCAAAAAAAAAATCATGCGATTCAGACATCTGATGACCCAGATAGAATTTTTTAAACAATGTTTTTTTTTTCTTTTTTTTTTGGAAAATTCTCCAAAGGTTGTTTATTTTTTGTAGCCTTTTATTGTATTCGTGCATCCGTCTGTCCATGTATTCTTGTGAACAAAATGCAGGTCGCACTTATTATCCGATTGAGATGCAAATTTCCAAACAAGGACGAACCCTATTCAAATCGGTGATAATCGGAGCAGATTTAGGTATAGCTCCCATATATCTTCAGCCGATTTCGTGTTAATTGTGCACCACTATAAGTCCAAATGACCTGAATTTTGGTACATCCCATCGAATTCAATCTAGATGCAAGTTCATTAAATTTGGAGAAAATCTGTTCAATTATAGCTATAGGTCCCATATATATGTTTTATCCGATTTGGGGTTTAAAGTCCCTCACAAGCGTAATACGCACTCCACAATAATGATATTTGATACCGGACATCGGATACTGCTCGAAAATACCTCTGTCAAATTTTATCGAGATTTTCTTAATATAATCCTGATGATAATTTGGTGGGTGGATATGTCCGCATTTACATTTGGCAAATTTACACGCGGCAAGTCTCTATTTGTAGGGAGTGAGAGAGAGAGAGAGAGAGAGAGAGGGGAATGGAAATGAAACAAATTGCTAATGTCACGTCCAGAAGAGAGCGCTAAAAATTGCCGCAAGTAAACTGACCTAATCTAAATCAGGACTGGCAATACAATGGACTGGAATGAGCAAAACTCATTACATAAATACAAAAAAATAATTATCTGACACTGAAGTCTGTGATTTTCTAAAACAAAAAACATTTAATTAAAGATTTTTTAAATTGTTTTGCCATTTTTTTAATACTTTGAAGAAGGGAAATAGAAAACATAATGGGGTTTCCCTGTTCTATATATTTCAAACTTGATTCTATATGAGGTCGGTCGGTATGCCCATCTGACAACTAAATTTGCTGTCAAAAAATATATTTAAATCATAAATATCATAAATCATAAATATATTCATAAATAAATTCAAAGAGACTAAAAGTACGTTTATATATATGAGGGTTAAACCACTGGATTTTGATTTAAATAGTCATATCCATTACTTTTACTTCAAATAAATCCTCTCAAAGTAGGTTAACCCTACAAAAAATTCTAACGTTAACATGGCATAAAATCGCTAATCTTTGAATATCAAATCACAATAATGTCTTAGTTGCCGCATGGGCTCACAGGCCTATTTTACAGGGGGCTTGATTTCAATTAAAAAAACGGATTTCCTTATACATTTGTTATAACTATTCACAATACTAAATTTGATTTGAATATATTTTGAATTACTTGAATTATTACAAAACTACAGACCCTTTTCCTTTGGCAACATTGAACCATACAAATGTTAATAGAAATTAATTTTGTTAAATAGTGCTGGCGCCTCTACAAATAAAAAAAAACTAACAAACAATAATAATAACAACAACAAAAACAATATAAAAATCAACTACTCTTGTGTCGTGGAAACAAGAACACAAGAAATTCACGAACATACATACACACCACTGTCAACTCACAATACTGTATGTAAATTTATGAGTATGTTTTTTTTTTTTTTGTTCTCTACTACCCGCCGGCGGGTTCCCCTCTTTCACATGCAACATTTTATTGGAATGAAAATTTGAAAAACAAAAAGAAAAGCAAAAATCTATAGCAATTAAAATGTAAAAGAAAAGTAAACCACCCTAGACTTGTGAAAATCAAATTCAATTTTAGTTTAATTCAATGTAAATTGAGTTTCATCTTCTACGTTATTTTTTGTTCGAAATTCCAATTCACCCCTCCGGAGAAATAACATTACAATACTACAATTTATACATTTAACAAGTAAGTTTATTTTAAAATCCAAGTCCAAGACCCCTGCTCCCATCAGTCTGATTGAACTCTTTTTAACTATAACCTACCTACTTATTAATAATAAACAAACAAACAAAAAAAAAAACAAATATTTTTATTTAAAAACTTTAAATTAAATCTGTGTTTTATTTCTTAAGGTCATGCAGGGAAATATATAAAAAGTTGTTTTATAACCCAAAAGCCACTAAATGAGAGCTAGTAAAGAGAGTAATTTTTACAGTTGACTTATTGAGAGTTTGCAAAATCTTACTGGAAAAACTTACTCACTAAGAATTATCCAGTAAGATCAGTTGATTGAAAACATGGTGTTATGTGGTCGATGTAAGTGTTTGCAAAATTTTAATAAATACAGGGTGAGGTAAAAATAGTCAAACGCCATAATTTTTACATTTTTATACCCTCCACCATAGTATGGAAGGTATATTAAGTTTGTCATTCCATTTGTAACACCTCGAAATATACATTTTAGACCCCACAAAGTTTATATATCCTTGATCATCATAAAATTCTATGTCCATTTAGCGATGTCCGTCCGTCTGTCTGTCTGTGGAAATCACCCTAGCTTCCGAACAAAATGAAGTAGGTTAATAAAATTTAACCCAAATGTGTATTATGCCTGCAGGACTTTTAGTATTGAAAATGGGTGATATAAGCCCACGTTTTGGTATAGCCCCCATATAAGCGACATTATTCACCTAAAATGTTTCAAATTTGGTATTTGAAGTTCGTAATCGATACTACAGCCTGTGACAGAAATTTGTCTGCGCAGGTCTACGTCTTCGTTTAGCCCCCATATAACGGCACTTCACGATATTCGATATTTTGATGATTTTAGCGACATTATTCACCGGAATTCTTTCAAATTTGGTATTTGAAGTTCGTAATGGGTACTACAGCCTATGGCAGAAAATTGTCCGCGCAGGTCCACGTATTCGTATAGCCCCACATACTGTTATCTTCCAATATTCTGTATTTTGATGATTTTAGCGACATTATTCACGGGAATTGTTTCAAATTTGATATTTGAAGTTCATATTGAATAGTACAGCTTAAGACAGAAAATTATCTGTGCAGGTCCACGTCTTCGTATAGCCCCAATATAATGGTACCTCCCTATATTTGGAATTTTGATGATTTTAGCTACATTATTCACCGAATTTTTTACTCGCATTTCAATATTGTAATGGTTTATGACAAAAGTTGCCTATGCAGGTCCACATCGTCGTATATACCCTAATATAACGGCTACATTCATTCGGTATTTTTAAGATTTTAACAGAATTTTTAACGAATTTTATTTTTTTTATTTATTCAAAGATCGGCCCGGCCGAACTTACAGTTTTTTACTTGTTTTTATTTTTTAAATGTTGTTGAACGAAAGCAAAAAATGTCGAAAATAGCATCAAATTTTAGAATAAGTTCGAATTTGTTCGAATTGATCACCTTTGGCACGAATTTGGCTTCAAACGGCAAATGAAACCGTCACACCCTGCCCGAATGTTGCTCTGCGGTATGTTGACCCATTCCGGGCGAAGCGCTTGCTTGAGGTGATCGACACGTTGACATTTTTTAGTGCCAACCTAGCTTTCCAAAATACTCCAGACACAATAGTCCAACGGATTGGTATCCGCAGATTTTGGTGGCCATTGTGCGCTGGAAATGAAGCGAGGAACCTCATTTTGTATCCATTCTTGGGTGCGCGTACTGAGTGCGATGGTGCTGAGTCCTATTGGAATGTCCAAGGTCTGCGGCCAAAATACACCCTCCAGAATATTTTCACGATAATATTGGGCATTTATTCTGATGCCACGGTCGATTAATACTAGCGGAGAGCGACCATCGGCTGTTATGGCGGCCCACACCATCACCATGGCCTGCGCTTGAGTTCTTGTGGCCAAACGAAGGTGCACATTTTCAGCTGGCCTCATTGGCAAGTAAACACGATAATTATGTTTGTTTACAAACTACTGGACAACGAATGTTTTCTCATTGGAGAAAACCAAATTCGACAGTTCACCACTTTCGGCCAAGCGAAGCAATTCTTTAGCTCTTTTCAGTCTATTTTCTTTCAGTTGCGGTGTAAGTTCTTGCCACTGCGACGCGGGTTTCGATCGAATCGCTTCTTTACTCTTCGGACCATTTCTGCTGATGTTACTGTTTTCGTCCGACCACTTCCTTGACGTCGGGATACGGCAACGAGCGATGGTACGAGACACAAAAGATTTATTTACAGTTAAATGATGGAGTGCTCTAACGATAGCAACTTGTGGTTTTCCAGCCAAATATAAAGAAATCACACTATCACGCTTGAATTCCATCATGAATAACTTTCTGGAAAATTCCCACCCAAAATGCTTTCGTACGCTTGTAAACAATATAATGAGGTGTCACTGGACGAGTGCCTTTGAAATGACAGCCGTCTGAAGTTGGTTGCAGTTTTTTCATTTCATCCTGACGAAGTAGCGGGCACTTGCTAGTACCTTATATAACGAAGGACATTAAGTCTGTTTGTCTTAATTTGAGAGAACCA